TTTAAAAAGCAAATAAATAAATAACTTTGTTTATTTGCAAAACTTGTGCATAGGGTTTTAAAATTGACAATTTATATTTGCATTTAAAGTTATGAAATATGATTTATTAAACATGTTTGTGGTTGTTACAGTAAAAAATCTAACTTTTTCTACTCGCAGTTTACGTTTTTTGTCTGATTTTAGATCAGTTGTGTTAATACAGTACGTCAAAATGAAAACATAACTGTAAATTCAGATATGTGAGGTTGTGCTGAAAAGAATGATACCAAACAAGGCAAAGTAAATAGTTTATAAAGGTGAAATGTAGAGGAAACATCAAAGTGGTTAAAATGGCCAATTATACCCTGGACCACAGAGGGTTAAACATTTTTTTAAAGTAACGCAATAATTACTTTTCAACTAATTAATTACTTTTAGAATCTTGTGACTCAGTTACTAACTAAGTTACTTTTTTGAAGAAGTAACTAGTAACTATAATTAATTACTTTTTCAAAGTAACATGCCCAACACTGTAAATACTATTTGTTTGAACTGTCATAAACAGGATGTGACAAGTTAAAATAATAACAACTGTACTGCATTAAAACATTCACAGCAGGTGGGGTATCTGGTCTTTAAGTGATGACCTGATGAATCCTGCTTCCAGGTCCCAACCACTCTGCATTTATTAAGGCTGTTGTGTTTTTAACACATTTTAATTCTTTGCATCTTCTTCTTTTTAATTAAAACAAGCCCCTAAAAAAGTCAGTGATCACTGTCGGCCTCTCTCTCTTCATTTTAAAGCTCAGTTTTTAAAACCTTACGATGTATACAGCCCAGCCGCAGTATATTAATGACTAACCTTATATTGTAGGTGTTCTTCTCACTGAAGTTTGGTCTGTTAACAGCATCCTTCATTTATGTCAGAAATGATAGCAGAGCTGTACGTTTTATTTCGTTTCAGAAATCCCTCAGTCAGAACATATTATATTATATTTGGATGGAAACTAGCCAGCTAACTTACTGCTAACTTCCAACTCCGTTAAATTTCATAAATTCAGTCTTCATTAATGCCTGCATGTTAAACTTAATTGTTACACCTGTTAGAGCAGCAACGCTGATCATTTTATTACAGATGAAATGATTAAGACAGTTTTTAATTCTCAGTGATGCCGCAGTGATCGTTGGACTTAGGGACCTGCAGCGGAGTTTGGGCCCAGGCACGGCTAGTGACGTCAGACCTAAAGACTGGATTGTGTATATGTTTTCTTCATTTGCTTCTGTTGTGTTTTACCTCATGGTTAATTACTTACTTTAATTAAATCACCTATTAGCATTGATGGTGTGATGAAACCCCAGTTTGTCGAATCTTTAAGGCCAATTGCTTCACCAAAAGGCAGATCAAATTCAGCAGCTGATTTGGACGTACTTATATCTGCTGGTTATTCAGTGCATAGCAGCCCTGTTTAAATAAGACACAGGGGCTACATAAAAGTGGATATGTAAATGTAATGATGTATCATTTGTTGAATACTCATTTGATCTCCTATATAAAATACACACACCTCTAACTAATTATTTTTTCTGAGACAGGTTTGAGAAAATGTTTGTTATTATTATTGTCAAAATGCTCCCCAACTGCTGATATATTTCACATTTTTGGGTGGTTTATTTTGGTGGGATATTTGATGGAATAGCTCAGTAGGTAGAGTGGTTGCCCCATGATCAGAAGGTTAGTAGTTCAAATCCACTAAATGAGCACCTTGAGCAAGGTACCGTCTCTACACATCGCTCCCCAGGCGCTGGATTGGTAGCTGGCCACTGCTTCACTGAGTGAATGGATTAAATGCAGAGAACAAAATATCCCATGTGTGGGGCTACAATGGTTTTGGAAATGAAATCACCAGTTCATGCAAGGAACAAATTCCTGTGTCTTTTCAACAGCTCAAATCACATAACGAGGCCTCTTTTATCTTTGGTCACGTGATATTCTGAAGAACAATACAGGCCTTGACATGGGATGACAAATAAGCTCTCGGGTTTTTTTGAACATGTCTCAGTGCTGGTGGTTAGCACTGTTGCCGCAGAGCAAGAAGGTCCTGAGTTCAATTCCACCATCAGGCCGGGGTCCTTCTGTGTGGAGTTTGCATGTTCTCCCCGTGTTTGCGTGGGTTCTCTCCGGGTACTCCGGCTTCCTCCCACAGTCCAAAGACATGCAGCTTGTGGGGATAGGTTAATTGGTTAATCCAAATTGCTCATAGGTGTGAATGCGCGAGTGAATGTGAGTGCGAATGCTTCTCTGTCCCTGTGTGTCGGCCCTGCGACAGACTGGCGACCTGTCCAGGGTGTACCCCGCCTCTCGCCCTATGACAGCTGGGATAGGCTCCAGCGCCCCCCGCGACCCTGAAAAGGATAAGTGAAAGCGAATGGATGGATGGATGTATCAGTGCAGTATTTTGCATTGCATTAGCCTGGGTCCTTTGAAAACCCTGAAGGCCAGAAGTGCAAGGCTGTTGAATGGGACGGTCTAACCTACTGATGCACTGCTCAGGTTGTTTAGCAACAGCGATAATAGACATTAGAAATGTTGTAGACAGAGTTTTTTGACAGGAATGTGAACCATCAAGATTGAAATCCCAATATTATATCAATGTTGAACAACATCCAAATACTGATGGAACTTGACGGTCTAATAGTACTGTCATTGGAATAACATTGATTCACAGTTGTTCTGTTAGCATTGATTATTGATCTATTTATAGTTGATGAAGAATAACATGGAAAAAACATGTTTTTATAGTTGACCGGGAAATTAAAGCTGATATCACTTGGACTATTCCGTAGCACCCCTCTCACAGTGGTACATCCCATCCGGCCACTATTGAACAGTCTTTTTCACAGTTGAGTGGGAAATTATATTGAAACTCAGCTGATAATATTGTCCATCCCTGCACCCCGATCCATATCAGGTAAGAATGTTAGAATTTATTTATTTCTTATTTGAAGGTTGAATTTGAAAAAAGTGAACATTCGTTAATATCTATAGTTCATTTACAGTGTTGGAGCCAGACAACCTTTGTGTCTACCTTGTTACGGTTATCACAAGCCGGGATTCTCTGTTTTATTGATCTTTTCTACAGATGCAACCTTCCAAAAACCATGGTGACAGAGCTGACCAGAGAAGTCAAGGACTTCAGAACTTCAGGAGTTCAGAGCTTTCCGTCATCCTGCAGCAGGGAACATGTTGATCCTGGGGTTTTGCCTCCGGATTAGCCTTTGCACAATATGGATGAGCTGAACAATGCAGCAGCAACTCTTCAGTTACCGGCAGCAAATTAAAAAATGCTCAATTCTTTCAAGTTATTTAACTCAGAACTTAATACATTTTCCAGTTTGGTTAAACTGCTTAAAAATGGCCTGCTGCTGTACGTTCTGCTGGAATATATATCAGCAGGCTGTCATGGGAAAATCCAACAAATAGGAATTGAAATACATTTCACTGCAAATATTTTGGTTAATTCCTTTTATCTCTGGAAAATTAGGCTTTGGAAAAAAAATCATTATGTCTCTTTCATCTCTTTCATGATGTCAACACACAAGCATAATCATGCACATTTCTTAAAATAACTCACAACATTGCATTTTTTTTTAAAAATAGTGTCTTGATAGGTGCGACACTTTTCTTTGATTGGAGGGACCACACTGGAGGTGCGAGGCCATCTATGCCACTACAAATGAGCTGGCCTCTGGACTTGGGAGGAAAAATGAGGACCAGACCAAGCAAAAGAGAAAGTGCTCTGCAGATGCATTTTTGGTACGTATTATTGTTTACTGTAGTTTTATGAGCCTTCAGTGAACAATAGAGTGATCAACTAAAGTTCTACATGCATCTGTAGTTTCCTGTGTCAGGTCTTTGTTAGCCAACCCGACCGTGGAATATAGCACACAGGCGAACAAAGTGAGGCAGCAGTATGCTGATTTCTGCCCTGTGACTTTAATGTTAATCAGCCTAGTAGTTTATAGGCTTCCTCCCCGCTAAAGACTTTTGACAATGTAAGCTCTAATTGAGCCTCTCCTTTTTTTTTCTGTTTAATTTTTCTTGTGTTTGGTTTTGTTCTAGATGGTTGGACTCAGCAGGTGGTGGTAAATGCAGTTTCTGAGTTTGCCTTCACCTAAGGAATGGCTCTGCTTCGCTCCCCATCAGAAGGCTGGTGCAGGATGCCCATCTTTATAGGATTTTTATAGGATTTTTTTTCTTAATGCAAAGACGTCTATTGCCATTTTGTTAATTAAATAATGCCTGATGATAATATTATAGGGATATTATTATGGACATGGTAAATTGAAAGATAATGTCTAATATATAATGGTAATTCTGTTTTTAGATAATACACAATTGTCTTTTTCACAGGTTTAAGTATTGATTGATCAATTTGGAGTGGTTTAGTATTGATTGAAACACCTATTAAGTCCTGTTTATTTTTGATCATGATGTAATTGCTATTTCAGCATTAACCACGAGTGCAAATGTTATGGAAAATAAAAGAATTCAACATTGTTTCATTATTAACTGAGTGGTGGAAAATCAGTGTCATATTTCAATGTTGATTCAACGGAATTGCCTGATATTGCACATCATTTCAATATGTTCTTCCAATCTGGACTTTGACTCAGTTTGACACAATCTGTTTTTCTTTCACTTTGAATAAATGTTTTTGTGGGACTGAGGATACATTTGTTTACATTTGGAAGTTTGATGTCATCTGTTCCTCTTGTTTCTGTCTTAAAACAGGATGAAAAATCTGTTTAAACAGAAATAAATAGAATTGAATTTCTGACAGCAGTAAATAAAAATGGTCCCTGAGCTCAGTATGTTTGTGACTCTGAGATGGAGGTGAAACATGTGAAGCTGGGCTGTGGTTTACTGCTCTCTTCCTGTCACAGACACTGTTTGACATCTGTTCATCTGTTGGTTTTTGTTCAGGCTGCAGGGATCATTTCTCACTGTGGGGATCAGAAACCCAACAGGAGCAGTAGTAGGTGGCTGAATGATCAAGTTTAACTTTCTCTATCTTCAACTCACAGCTGTTCTGTGTATTCACAACTGAGAAATCATCTTTCTGAGGATGATCATAACCTGAGTAAACATAACCACTGCTCTTATCAATAAAAAGAATCACTCTGAATGTTTCTTTTTCTTTCTTCTGGTACCAGAATATCGGGTCATAATCACACTTATTAATCCCTCCACAGCTGAAGGAGACACTTTCTCCAACTCTCCTGGTCAATGTTAAATCGTCCTGAATCAGCTGTTCTGCTGCCATGGTAACCAGTGCTGTAGAGACACAGACAGATAGATGAAGGTTAGTGTGACAGTGTTTGTTACAGGTTGACTTTGTTGGCTCCTGATTGGCTGGAAACACTCACCTGAACACAGACAGCACAGAGCAGCAGCTGGGAGGAAAAGCATTTTGTGCAGTGGTGTTTCCTCTGGTGAACCTGGGGAGAAGTGGCGCTCTGATGCAGCTGAGGCCAAACAAGGACGAGCTGTGAGATCAGACGAGGGCCACGTGGTTTCTAACAGGTCCTCAAAGCTCCCATCAGCCCCTGCGGCCCACAGATAAGACTGCTGCTGCTGATTGACAGCTCAGCTGAAGCTGCTGTGGTTTCATCGTCTTCATTTCAATCTGACAGCAGATCCAAAAATCTGGGTCACATGATGCACAAACACTCAGAAACATTCATGTTGCTGTGAATTTACTAACACACACTGTTACCTGTGGTTTTCTTCTTCATCTAACTTTTTGAACATCTTCACCTTTTCTTTGTTTTTGTGAATCAAAATGAATAAATAATATTCTCAGCATCTCATTTTTAATTGTTCTGTTTTATCGACGACGGTTTTAAGAATCATTAAAATGATGATCATCAATTCTAATATCTATAAACAGTAATAAAAACAGGGCTGTGTTTCACGTCAGCTTCATTTATTTGTAGCCATGGTTAGATTTCATCTGCAGCAGGCAGTCATCCACCTTTACACACACATTTACACAACAGTACAAAAGTAGGAATATTTGGAAACATCTCTGTGATCTCTATAAGACAAAAGGATGGGAGAGGCTGGTGTGGTCTCAACACTGTTCACAGTGTTTCCTTCAGTGCTGCTGACAGCGTCTCACAGCGTGCTGTGATACCTGATACCTTGTAAATGAGTCATTTACCTCAGAGCCGATTTTTAGGCTCTCGCCTTTAGTTCATGTTTGTTTTTATCACTCGTTGTCGTCACACCGAACCTCCTGTAACAAACTTCACTTAATTCTTCGCCATCGAGCGTCTGAGTTTGTCTGCGCCTGAGTCCACTCCTCCATGACAACATCTGTTTCATATTTGCTCTTTTTCACTTCATAGTAAATAATCAGATAATTCATATTTTATTTACCCTGACATAAAACACAGAGCTGTGTGGAGTAAATCTCATCAGGAAAATATATTTTATATTTACATTTAAGATTTTAAAAATATTAATTCTTTAAAAGCATCACTAAAGTTCAGCGAATTTATATTTAATATTTTAAAAAAATACTTTTAAAAAAGCTATCACTGATTTAAATATTAATATTAATATCAACAGAACTTAATAAATATTCATCACTGGTAAAATCATCAAATTAGTAAATGATCTTTGTTTTGAGTTTGTTTCTCTGTGCTGGTCTTGATTATAATAATTATGATTCTGTTTACATTTTTTAACTCAAATGTATTATTTGTATAAATTGTACTAGTGTGAATAATTAAGCTGATTAATCAATGACACATTTGTTTTAACCTCCTGAGACACGAACTCTTTCATGGCATACATTTTTAATTTCTCTTTGCTCTTTGGGCTGATTGGGACCTGATGAATGTTCTTGTTTCTGAGAAAAATGAGATCCACATATGAGTAAATTCGCTTTAATTTTTTTTAAGTATGATGTCCTCGTAAGTGGATATCAGGCCCTTGTCGAGCAAAATGTAGTAATTTGGTCTAGACAACCCAAAATGTGATGTCCACATATGTGGACGCCAGGTCCTAGGAAGTTAAATGTTTTACATATTTATGATTATTAGAAAAAGTGAGAAAGATGCTCAACATCCATCCTAACTGATGGTGTTTTGTGAAATTGTTTTTACAAATCTTGTCTTAATTTATTCCCTTTTTCAGTGTTTTTAAATCATAACGGTTCAACTTGAGTTCTGTGGGATTTAATGTTCAGACTTCATCTTGTATTTGTCTTTTGTGATCGTACTAAACATCAACTGTGTAACAGCTCTGAGTTCACACTTTGTTTCTCTCACACACATGAACACAGATGCTTCCTGAACAACTTGAAGCAGAGTTCCTGCTTGTAACTGTCGTTGTGTTATTAAAGTGAAAGCCACAGCTAACGGTGTGGAGGCTGCAGAGCAGAAACCCACACAGCCCGTCTGCTGCAGGAGAGCAAGTTTATGATCTGTGAATGCTGCAGTCACACAGGTTATGTATCACAGAAGAAATGAGAAGCATATTCTTAACATTCAAATCTTTATTTTTACTTCAGACAAATAACTACACTGTTATTTTGTTATGGTGGGATCTGAATGCATCAGTTTTTCTGCAGAGATGTACAAAAGAAATCTTCACATAAAGAATCTACACTTTTACAAACACATCAAACATGTTTCTTTGTAAATTTATATTACACAGTTTAAGATGATTAAATGAGAAAAGGTCAAATGCTCAGTAATGAAACATTGAAGCAACCAGAAGTTAATTTACATTTCTGACTGCTGACTGGAGGAAATCTGATGGTGAGAAAAGGCGAGCAGGAAACAGTCAGTCAGCATGTGTGCAGTTGGTGGACGCTCCCTTGTTTGTGAGCATCATCAGCAGAGAGAGTCCACAGCAGTACACCAGACTCTTCACTATCAGCACTGTGTACAGCAGGCAGAGCAGCTTCACCCTGCACTGAGACTGGAAGGACACTGAAGGACAGACAGACACAAAGAGACAGACAGACAGTCGGGTTATTCCTCTCAGATCAAGGAGAAAAAGTCCAAATAGAAACAGTCACAGCTTCTTCTTCAAGTGGATGAATTGATGTAGTGTTTGTGTCCACTTGGGGGCAGAAGAACTCCACAAGCAGCTAACAAACTGATCTCTGACATATTATGGTCTGTCTGCTGTTTGGTGCTGAGCAGCTAGTGTACAGTGGCTTTATCAGAGCTTGTTGGATGAAGATTTGATCAATTAGTGCAACTTTAAGAGCCTAAACTTGTTCCAGCTGCCTCATTGGACATTGGAGCTGTCCATGCAGAGAGGCAGCAGGTGATCTTACAGTCAGCTGGCTGCAGAGCTGGCAGGTCTGCTGGCTCTCTCTCTGGAGGACAGGAGGCTGCTGGAGCTGGAAGCTCTGAAACAGAAAAGGAGTCAAATGTTTGGAGCTGCAGTGAGAAATGTCAGTCCTCTGCTGCTCTGCTCTCTTTGACAGCATCTCCACATGAAGCTGAATCACTGCTGAACACAGTCACCAAGCCTTCATTACCTTGTTGTGTTCGGGCCTCCACTGTGCCCCCTCGTGCTTCACCCAGCAGCTGTATTTATATGTGTCAGAATGGCTCCCATCAACCATCCTGATGGCAATGGTGCGTCCCGCCTCTCTGAGCTCCAGCTGCTCTCCCTCAGCAGGGGGCAGCTCCTCTGCTTCTCCGCCGTTCTTCTTCTGTCTTTTCCAGGAGAACTGGACCAGAGGAGGAAACATGGCTGAGGCCACACACAGCAGGGAGCTGTTCCCCTCCAGGTGGGCTCTGGATGCTGCTGGGTACACGCTCACCACGGGCTTCACTACCTGCTCATCTGAAGTTTGACAGCAGCAACAAGCAGCACAGACACACATTCACACAGTCAGCAGCAGCTTCCAGCACTGCACTGCATTCAGTCTGATCCTGGAAACTACATGGACTCTGATCACTAAACTACTCATCAGCACAAAGTTCACTACATACACTGGATTCAGCTTCATATCAAACACAGTCATCACCTCATGTCATCATGGCTCACATGAGGAACACTCAGCATGTTTTTAAAGTCAAATTAAATTCATTTCAGTTTAATTCGTCATGTGTTTGCTTTTTATTGTTTTATAGAAATTTAGTTCAGTCCAATTTTAAAATATTTACATTTGTCTTTATACAAGTGAAAATGTATTTTTCTTTTTAGTCCTTAGACACGAGTTCCAACAGAGATCCTCTTCTGTCCAAAAGTAAATTCATATTCTTTCATATTGTTTTGTACTATTAATAAAATTAAATATCATTTCACAAAATTCAGTTCAGCAGATAAAATTTCCATTCTTCTTGTCTTTGATATATTTTACCATAAAGACCATATTTGTCTTTCAGACTAATTTATTCTTAAATATTTTTGTGTAAAAATTGGAAAAGTAACGCAGTGATTATTTTAATTTATGTTTTTATTCAAATAAAAAACTGTAGCAACTATTTTAAAACACTAAAACTGAAATGTTGAATAAAACGTTTTCAATAATATGAGATATACTTCAAGATATTTTTAGTCATAAAATACAAATTATTTGACAAAGTATATTTAATAAAAATTTGTATGTTAAAGTATTTTGGAAAGTTTAAGTATTATTATTATTTACTACCTGTACATTTTAGGATTGTTTTTAAAGTTCTCTTATTTGCTTTTAAATCTCTTAATGGCCTGGCCCCCCCCTACCTCTCGGAGCTACTACAACCATATACACCTGCCCGCTCCCTTAGGTCCGCCAATCAGCAGCTCCTTAAGGTACCGAAAACTAAGTATAAATTTAAAGGTGATCGTGCTTTTGCTGTAGCTGCTCCAAAGTTGTGGAATGATCTACCCTTGCATGTTAGGCAGGCCTCTTCTCTCTCTGAATTTAAAAGTCTTCTTAAAACATATTTATTCGCTGAAGCCTTTGGCATTGATTAGAGGGGTTGACTCAATTTGTTTTAACATGTTTTAATTTATTTTATCTATTTATTTTATCGTATCTCATTTTAATTTTCTTTACGTATGCTATTAGCATGTACAGCACTTTGTGAACTCTGGTTTTATGTTAAAGTGCTTTAGAAATAAAGTTGGTATGGTATGGTATTAACTTTTTATTGTCACGTACAAATCCACACACACGACTTAATCTCAGAAATAAATCTCGGGGCAGGGATAGCTCAGTAGGTAGAGTTGTTGCCCCATGATCGGAAGGTCAGGGGTTCGACTCCACTGAATGGTTACCCCTAGCAAAGTACCCTCCCTACACACTGCTCCCCGGGTGCTGCCCACTGCTTCACTTGGTGAATGGGTTAAATGCAGAGGAGCAACTTCCCTATGGGTACTAACAGACACACATTATTAAAAAAAAAAAAAAAAATTGGAGTTTAACGATGTCATATTCATCCTAAATGTATCTGTCATATCATTGTTTTCTAATCAGTATCTGTTTTTATACTTCTATTTACCTTTTTGAAGCAGCTACATGAATGTTTGACTATTAAAAATATTTGTTCCTCAACATAAAGCAAATATTTCCTGAAACCATATTTGTTGTTAATCTATATTAATTTAATTTTAACATCAAATATGATCTTGTGTTGAAAACCAGCAGAATCACTGAGAGGATCAAATCCTAAATATTTGTAACATCACTAATATTTGCAGAAATAAAGAATAACTTTAGTTGTTCAGTGAGATTTCAACATGTTTTCAGAGATTATTGAGCTTTTCTTATGTAACAATGGC